CATTAAAAACACAAAACAATTCCGGAAAACATTAAAAACACAAAACAATTCCGGAAAATTCAAAAACACAAAACAATTCCGTAAAACATTAAAAACACAAAACAATTCCGGAAAACATTAAAAACACAAAACAATTCCGGAAAACATTAATGACACAAAACAATTCCCGAAAGTTCAAAAACACGAAACAATTCCGTAAAACATTAAAAACACAAAACAATTCCGGAAAACATTAAAACACAAAACAATTCCGGAAAACATTAAAAACACAAAACAATTCCGGAAAACATTAAAAACACAAAACAATTCCGGAAATCATTAAAACACAAAACAATTCCGGAAAACATTAAAAACACAAAACAATTCCGGAAAACATCAAAAATACAAAACAATTCCGGAAAACATTAAAAACACAAAACAATTCCGGAAAACATTAAAAACACAAAACAATTCCGGAAAACTTTTAAAAACACAAAACAATTCCGGAAAACATCAAAAATACAAAACAATTCCGGAAAACATTAAAAACACAAAACAATTCCGGAAAACATTAAAAACACAAAACAATTCCGGAAAACATCAAAAATACAAAACAATTCCGGAAAACATCAAAAACACAAAACAATTCCGGAAAACATCAAAAATACAAAACAATTCCGGAAAACATCAAAAACACAAAACAATTCCGGAAAACATTAAAAACACAAAACAATTCCGGAAAACATCAAAAATACAAAACAATTCCGGAAAACATTAAAAACACAAAACATTCCGGAAAACATTAAAAACACAAAACAATTCCGGAAAACATTAAAAACACAAAACAATTCCGGAAAACATTAAAAACACAAAACAATTCCGGAAAACATTAGAAACACAAAACAATTCCGGAAAATTCAAAAACACAAAACAATTCCGTAAAACATTAAAAACACAAAACAATTCCGGAAAACATTAATGACACAAAACAATTCCGGAAAGTTCAAAAACACAAAACAATTCCGTAAAACATTAAAAACACAAAACAATTCCGGAAAACATTAAAACACAAAACAATTCCGGAAAACATTAAAAACACAAAACAATTCCGGAAAACATTAAAAACACAAAACAATTCCGGAAAACATTAAAAACACAAAACAATTCCGGAAAACATCAAAAATACAAAACGATTCCGGAAAACATTAAAAACACAAAACAATTCCGGAAAACATTAAAAACACAAAACAATTCCGGAAAACATCAAAAATACAAAACAATTCCGGAAAACATCAAAAACACAAAACAATTCCGGAAAACATTAAAAACACAAAACAATTCCGGAAAACATCAAAAATACAAAACAATTCCGGAAAACATTAAAAACACAAAACATTCCGGAAAACATTAAAAACACAAAACAATTCCGGAAAACATTAAAAACACAAAACAATTCCGGAAAATTCAAAAACACAAAACATTCCGGAAAACATTAAAAACACAAAACAATTCCGGAAAACATTAAAAACACAAAACAATTCCGGAAAATTCAAAAACACAAAACAATTCCGTAAAACATTAAAAACACAAAACAATTCCGGAAAACATTAAAACACAAAACAATTCCGGAAAACATTAAAAACACAAAACAATTCCGGAAAACATTAAAAACACAAAACAATTCCGGAAAATATTAAAACACAAAACAATTCCGGAAAACATTAAAAACACAAAACAATTCCGGAAAACATCAAAAATACAAAACAATTCCGGAAAACATTAAAAACACAAAACAATTCCGGAAAACATTAAAAACACAAAACAATTCCGGAAAATTCAAAAACACAAAACAATTCCGTAAAACATTAAAAACACAAAACAATTCCGGAAAACATTAATGACACAAAACAATTCCGGAAAGTTCAAAAACACAAAACAATTCCGTAAAACATTAAAAACACAAAACAATTCCGGAAAACATTAAAACACAAAACAATTCCGGAAAACATTAAAAACACAAAACAATTCCGGAAAACATTAAAAACACAAAACAATTCCGGAAATCATTAAAACACAAAACAATTCCGGAAAACATTAAAAACACAAAACAATTCCGGAAAACATCAAAAATACAAAACAATTCCGGAAAACATTAAAAACACAAAACAATTCCGGAAAACATTAAAAACACAAAACAATTCCGGAAAACATCAAAAATACAAAACAATTCCGGAAAACATCAAAAACACAAAACAATTCCGGAAAACATCAAAAATACAAAACAATTCCGGAAAACATCAAAAACACAAAACAATTCCGGAAAACATTAAAAACACTAAACAATTCCGGAAAACATCAAAAACACAAAACAATTCCGGAAAACATCAAAAACACAAAACAATTCCGGAAAACATCAAAAACACAAAACAATTCCGGAAAACATTAAAAACACAAAACAATTCCGGAAAACATCAAAAATACAAAACAATTCCGGAAAACATTAAAAACACAAAACAATTCCGGAAAACATCAAAAATACAAAACAATTCCGGAAAACATTAAAAACACAAAAAAATTCCGGAAAACATTAAAAACACAAAACAATTCCGGAAAACATCAAAAACACAAAACAATTCCGGAAAACATTAAAAACACAAAACAATTCCGGAAAACATCAAAAACACAAAACAACTCCGGAAAACATTAAAAACACAACAATTCCGGAAAACATTAAAAACACAAAACAATTACGGAAAACATCAAAAACAACATATCTATCAAACATATATTCCTGTTTTATAGAACCTTCCGGAAAAAATTAAATTTTTTTATTAAACTTTTCCTGAAAATACAATAATAAATTAAACTATTTCCGGAAAAATCAAGTAACGTTAATATAAACACAAATAATAATTAAACTTTCCTGGAATTAAATAAAATGTCCGAATTATATTTATTAAATTTATTTTAACGCATTAAAGTTTATTTACTTTTTAATATTCTCCCGTATTGTTTTTCTATTTTTTTCTTGTTTTTATTGAGTCATCGTTTTTGCTTTTCCTCTATTAAATTTGTAAATACCTACAAATACATTTCCAAAAAAATTTAAAAAGTAAATTTTCACACTGTGATTCACAAAAATAACGTCATTAAATATTCCAGTATTTACAGTCTTTTAGTTAAACATTTAATTTGTTTATTTTATTAATTTATTTTTGAAGTTAAAACATTATTTCTTTATATACACAGCCCTTAGAATTATTTAAATATCATCCCAACATTCCTTAGTACATTACAAACATCTTAACAAACATCTTTTATACATGCTAAACATTATGTTAACGATAGAACATTTTTCTAATTTATAAACATTTTTAGAAAATTAAAACAAATAGAAAACACAACATAAAACACAGAAATATTAAAAAAGTACACAAATACAAACATCAAACATTTTCCGGAAACGTCAACAAACATCTATACAAACATCTATAAAATCAACTACAAAATTAATTCAAAACTTCCGGAAACAATTTTTATAGTCTATTTTTTCCGGAAAATACTGATGAACCTTCCGGAAAATAATTATTATATTTTTCCGGAAAACATTTCTATAAAAACTTTCCGGAAAGCTATGAAAGTTTTCTGACAATTATTAATCATTTCCGGAAAACAATATTAGAATTTCTTACAAAAATATTAGTTTCCGGGGAAAAAATACTTATAAGACTTTACTGAAAAATAATTATTATAATTCCGGAAGACTATTTTAAACATTCCGGAATCTACAATAAACATCTATTATTAGATTATTATACCTATTTATTATATAACACCATTTAAACCACATTCCGGAAATACACATCATTGGTAGGTTGTCCTTTTTAAATTCCTATTTTCTTTTAAATTTACAATTATTTATTCAATTTAATTTTAAAAATACAAAAAATTTTTGTTTTTGTTTATAATGCACTTTAAAAAATTTTTTTCAAATTCTTTTATGTTCCGAATAAAAAAATCTTTTTATTTTATTCTTTTGTTATTTTTGTTAATAATACTCTAAAAATAAAAAAAATTATTTTGTTGAATAGATCCACATTTTTTTCAATTTCCCCTCATCTCCATAAAAAATTTTGCCCTTTCTTTTGTCCTTATTGTATTTTTATCTTTTGTCCTTATTCAAAATAATAAACAAAATAATAAAAGAAACCATTCAAAAAGGCAAATAAATGGAAATATATTTTTAAAGGGATTCTTGAGGGAGGGAGGGAGGGAGGGTGTGTTTATTTATTAATGATTTGAAAAAAAATTAAACAAGGAAATAAATATTTAATAAAAATAATACATATCATTACATGCTAATTTTCTGGAATCTATAATAATCGTTTATAATAATTATAAGTGCATTTTACAATTCTAAGTTTATTTTTATTAATTATAGTTTATTTTTAATTTCCAAGTTTAATTTTACATTTTCAAGTTTATTTTACAAATTAAAGTTTATTTTATAATTCAAGCCTATTGTTTTTACAAATCCAAGTTTATTTTTTTTCATACAAGTTTAATTTTTACAACTTCAAGTTCATATTTTACAATTAGGCATTTATATATATTACAAATTCAAGTTTATTTATTTTTTTACAATTCCAATTTTATTATTTTTACAAATCTACGTTTATTTTCTACGATTCCAAGTTTTATTTAATGTAACATTTATGTAGGAGTTTTTGCGCATTTAGGAGCATTTAGGCGTTTTTATGTTGCTTCTGAAGAGTAACGGCCTGTTATTTCGCTAACAATTTTTTCTATAAAATAAGATCATTGCTATTTTGTAGCGAATTTCAAGGGCTTTCGAATCAGCCTAAAATGAAAATTTAAAACAATCCATATGGGGTCGAAAATATTTTTTAAAGAGCTACCCATACTTATGTTGATTTTTAATATCAAAATGAATGAATTTTTTAATTTTTTGAAATACTTTTAATTTTTAAATTCTTGCAAAATTCATAAATTTAAATTTCTTTTATTCCAAATTTTTTTATTTTAATGTTTTTGCCCCTCCACTCACATTTTTCTTCTTTTATTCATCGGCAAACAATAGAATGGCGCCGTAGGCCTTCCTCAGTTTCTTTTCAGATGCTCTTAATGGGTATAAGAATGAATAGAAAAAATAAAAGAAATAAATATAAATACAAGAATGCGCACAACAAAGCTGCCTTTGTATTTAAACAAAAACACAATATCTCTACATTGTTTTGTCGCTTCTTTTGTTATAATGTTTTGTAATGTACAATGGGGGTTCTAACAATAAATTTGTATTTTAAATAAAAAAAAAGAAAGAAATTTATATTTAGGAACATTTTAGTTGAATTTCTATAAATAGGGATATATTAAAATTGTAAAATTCCAAGTTTATTTTCTAGTCAAAAGTTTATTTTACTATTTGAAGTTTATTTCTTAGTACAGTTTATTTTACACTTCCAAGTTTATTTTCCACAACTCCACGCTTATTTTTAAAATTCAAGTTTAATTTTACAATTATAAGGTTCATTTTTGCTCTTCCAGTCTTAATTTACAATTAAGTTTATTCTCGTAAGTAAGTTTTATTTTTACAAATATAGGTTTGTATTTACAATTCCAAGTTTATTTTCTAGTCAAAAGTTTATTTTACAATTTCAAGTTTATTTTACAATTTCAAGTTTATTTTTTACACTTCCAAGTTTATTTTCTACAACTCCACGCTTATTTTTAAAATTCAAGTTTAATTTTACAATTCAAAGTTTCATTTTTGCTCTTCCAGTCTAAATTTACAATTAAGTTTATTCTCGTAAGTAAGTTTTATTTTTACAAATATAGGTTTGTATTTACAATTCCAAGTTTATTTTACAATTAATTATTCCTTTTACAAATTTAAGTTTATTTTTACATTTGTAATCTTTATTTTACAATTCAATATTTAATTTTACAATTAAGTTTATTTACTTAAGTTTTATTTACAATTCAAGTTTAATTTCAAATTTCAAGTTTATTTTACAATTAATTATTCCTTTTACAAATTTAAGTTTATTTTTACATTTGTAATTTTTATTTTACAATTCAATATTTAATTTTACAATTAAGTTTATTATTAAAGTTTTATTTACAATTCAAGTTACCGTATTTCCTAAAATAGTACTCCCGGGAGTACTATTTTTCAACCCTCCTCCAAAGGGGAGTACTATTTAAGGGAGGAGTACTAATTCAGGGGGGAGTACTATTTTTCAACCCTTTTTTTGATTTATCATAAGAAAATTTATTTCAAACTTCTAAATCAATTTGAGTTCGTTATCTGAAAAATGCCTGATCCGACCCGGATTTTCAAAAAATTTAATTATTAAAAGCTCTCAAAAAATATCCAAATTATTATAAAATTGAGCTAATTTCGGGACATTTAAACACAAGTGACATAAAATAAGGGGTATTGAGGAAAATCAAGAAGGATATTAGTTAATTTGGAGTGATATTGAGGAGTATAAGGGGATTTAATCGATTAAGGGTAGATATCTAAATTTACCACTATATCCATCTTGAACTCCCGACCAGTTAATACACTTGTATGTGTCAAATTCCCTAGATATCCTTCAAAAACACTGATATCCCCCTTAATCTTTTCAAACTCATAATCTTACGAATCCGCATATATCCGCCGATATTATTCAATGTCACTGAGAAATTGATGTACCTAATCGCTGTGTCCAGGGATTTATCAGCATTAATCACCGATATCCTCCACATCTCTTTTTCTTCGAATATCCTTACGAATTCTAGGATATCCATATTTAGGCGTGATAACAAGTAGGGTTTCGTCCCGAACGCTCGGGAATGAGTGCGTCCCGAACACTCATCCTTCATTTTTCTCTCAAATTCCTTTATCAAACCATACTACTTGATCTAGTTAGAGATGAACTAGGGGAATTGGAACTTTTAGACCCCACTTGATCAATCCAGAACATATTATAGGTTAAAATTTCAGTTCGTTTTCGGTAAGCGAAAGCTGTCCGGTTTCGGTTATCGAAGAATTAAGTGAAACCGACAACCCTAATCAGAATAAATAAAATAATTCAATAAGTAAATTTCAATAGAATAATTCAATGTTTCTTTTATAATTTTTTTCAAATATAGGGGAAAAATATTTTAGGGGGGAGTACTATTTTAGAGGGAGTACTATTTAAGGGGGGAGTACTATTTTTCAACCCTCCTCCAAAGGGGAGTATTATTTAAGGAGGGAGTACTAATTCAGGGGGGAGTACTATTTTAGGAAATACGGTAATTTACAAAATCTAAGTTTATTTTTTTTACATTTGCAAGTTTGTTACAATTTCAAGTTTATTTTACAACTAAGTTTTATTTTAATAATTTTAATTAATATTTGCTTGAATATTATTATAATACATAGTAGGTTTAATTCAAGTTTATTTTATTTTTTAAGTTCTATTTTTACAATTGTATTTATTTTATTTGCTGACCAAGTTTATTAAAATCATGACTTAATTTAATAATTTGCACTTAACTATTTTCCATTGTAATATTATTTTTATTTACTTTTCGTGTCCAATTTGCAAGTATTTAATAATACACCTTTAATATACACTTAATATCCTACGTTTTTATTTAATTTTAAATTAAGTCCATCTTTTTTTTTTAATTATTTAAAAATATTTTTTTCCATTTTCTTAATTTAAAAAAATATTTTAAAAATTTATGTTAAAATATTTTTTAATTTTTTGCAATTATTTTTACTCATTTTGTTAGCAAAAAATTATTTTCTTTAATTAATAATGACTATTTTTGCCAATAATGTTATGAATATTTAATTGAATATAAAATAGGTATGTATAAAAATAGTAAATTTTAAGTCAGATGTTCAGGTTCAGATTTGTATAATTTATATAAATACTAGTAAGAAAAATAAATTATGAGCCAAATTGGACTCCGAATTGAACTCAAATGTTTTAAAAATTAAAATAATAAAATTACAAATGAATAATTATTAAATAATTAAATAAAATATTTCGTAAAATACATTTCATATTATTAAAAAGGCAAAGCGAACTCCCATTAATTTTTTTTCAGTTTAATTTAAACAATCAAGCAGATGAAAAAAATTTTTAGTGTTAATATTAATCAAAAGATTGCGTTTATAAACCGGAAAAGCATCTATGTTAGGGTTTAACCGGAAGTTCCGGTTCCGGTTCCGGAAAGTTCCGGTGTTTTTTTGGTTCCGGTTCCGGGAACCGGAACTCAAATTGGTTCCGGTTCCGGTTCCGGCTCCGGTTTTCAAATCGGTTCCGGGCAAACCGGAACTTTTTTACACCCCTAAAGATTGATTTTTTCAAAAATATGGGTTGGCCTTCCACGGCTGGCCTTGCAATATTCTCAAAATTTTCGCCTGCGGCGCCAGAGAAAGAAGAAATCTAGCTCCGTGTCCTCACAAATTCTCAAAATTTTTGCCTGCGGCGCCAGTAAATGAAGAAATCTGGCTTTTTGTTCCTTCAAATTGTCAAAATTTTCGCCTGCGGCGCTGTAAAATGAAGTTGAATGGTATATCGTAGAATGTGGATGGATGAAGGTGATTTTAGTTAAATCATGTATTTCAAAGGGTCATAGGTAATATCTAGGATTTGGGTATGATATTGAGGGATTGTGCTGTGCAAGGTAGATATATTAGGGATGAGATAGCTGGGGATTTGGCTTTCCAAAACTTGGAATTTCTCACTTGGCCTTCCGAAATTCACGAAATTTTCGCCTGCGGCGCTAAAAAGGAAGGAAGAATAGGTTATTTTACAGAATTTGCATGGATTAATGGGATTTGGATGATATTGGGTGATTTCGTGTATCACGAGATAAAATTTATATCGGTGATTTGATATCTAGAGATCTGGTGGGATGATGGATAACTTGAAGAAATTCGGGGATCAAAGGGGATATCATATAATTGATGTGGTATCGGACATATCAGGAGATTTGGGTAGTTGGATTTGGTTTTACGGTTCGGTTTTGGTTAACCGAAGGTGTTAGTCGTTTCGGTTAACGGAATAATTTGGTGAAACCGACAACCCTACTTTAAAATTAAATTTCTTTTAATATTTTTTTAAATTTTTTAATTTGCTAGAAAAATTTTTTTAAAGTTCCGGTTCCGGTTCCGGTTCCGGGCCGGAACTTAGAAAAGTTCCGATTCCGGTTCCGGGAACCGGAACTCAAATTGGATCCGGTTCCGGTTCCGGTTCCGGTCAAAATTTCGGTTCCGGTGAAACCCTAATCTATGTATTCCTGAATACCTAACCAAAAATTCTCAAATGCTGGGATCCTTTAGAACATAGTCTAACAGATGATTCGTAATAAAAATAAAAAAAATTTTTCAGAAAACTTAATTTTAAAAATACAAAATCCAAATTAAAAAAGCGACACTAATTATTACCCGACCCAATATATTTTAACCAGCGTTGCATTTGTTTTCTAAATTTTAATAAATAAATAGAAAAATACTCAAAAAAATTATTTTTTATAAAAAATGCAAAAATATAATTTATTTTTATCTTTAATTATTTTTGCTAATTTAATATTTATTTTCCTAATTTATTTTTGTAAATAAAAAAATATTTTTTTAGTTTCCTTTATTTAATTATCATGTTTTTAAATTACTATATTAATTAATTTTATTTATCGCATATTTGCAACAATTTTCGTTTATTTTATTAAATTTTTATTTAATTAATAGGTTTAGGATTTTTATGAAAATAATTTTATTTCCGTATTTACTTCTAAAATAAAAATAATATTTATTTTTATTTCATGTTTAAACTACATTTAATTTTATAATTATTTTTAGATAGTTTTCTTATTAATATAATTTGAATATTTAATTTCCGCCTTGAAATAATAACTAAACTGAAGTATTTTAATTAAATACAATTGTAAATTATTTTACAAATTCCGTCTTTTTTGCCTTTCGCCTTCCGTCTTTCGCTTTTTAAATTTACTTCCGCAATTTCGCCATTTTTGCCTTTTTTATTTACATTCACCTTATCACCTTTCGCTTTTTAAAATCTGTTTTGACACACCCCTGATATAAACTATACTATAAATACTGAAACATCTGTCATAGAAAGAAAATAACTGTTTCCGGTAGCCAGTTGAAATACATTTTGTTTCTTTTAAACACATACCTTAAGCTATATTGTCTAGAATCAAAATGAAAGTTCAAAATACAAATTACTACCAAAATACAATACAATGGACAAATTTAC